TAACAGGAGCAGACGGCAGTGAGATGGGAGCTGTGCGGGCAGCGTGCTGCTGCGGTAGTCGACTGCTACAGCACTTGATCAACCCTCCCCAAAACGTGTGTTTCCAGGCGGGGGGAGGCACCTGCCATCGCCGCGTTGGCATGTTTCAAACCCTTTAACTGAGCGCCAGCGAGCACGTAGAGCTCCCCGTTAGATCTTTGTGTCTTAATTAACTTGATCTTCGTCACCAGTGATGTGGTGAGAAGCAAAGAGTCGCTCTGTAAATTCCAGTTCCCGGTAAACCGAAGCCAACTCCATTTAACGGCGCAGTGTTAGGAAGGGCTGAAAGTGGAGCTTTTGCGCTGGCAGCACTGGTACCATTAGTGACCCCGGGATGCTCCCTGTGATCTCTGCACCACTGGGTCCGTGCAAAGCTGGGACTTGAGAGGCTAAACACATTGAGGGCTGGAGCCCTTCTCCTGTGAGGACAGGCTATAAGAGCTGGGGTTATCCAGCCTGGAGAAGAGAAGGCTCCGGGGAGCCCTTGTTGCCGCCTTCCAGTGTCTAAAGGGGCGCCAGGAGAGCTGGGGAGGGACTTTTTACTGGGGCATGGAGTGATAGGATGAGGGGGAATGGCTTCAAACTGGAAAAGGGAAGATTTAGATTAGATATTAGGAAGAAATTCTTTCTTGTGCAGGAGGTGATCCCCGGGGGCAGGTTGCCCCGAGAAGCTGTGGCTGCCCCATCCCTGGAGGCGTTCAAGGCCAGGTTGGACGGGGCTTGGAGCAACCTGGGCTGGTGGGAGGTGGCCCTGCTCAGGGCAGGGGGGTGGAACGAGATGATCTTCAAGGTCCCTTCCAACCTAAACAATTCTGTGATCCAGGTTTCGGGGGGGTTGGTAGCGTTCGGCAGGCAGCTGCATGACGGGGGAGAGTCACTTGTCTCCCATCTCTGAGCACCAGGTTCAGCAAAACTCTTTTCCCACGGGATACCCGCAGGGAGAAGCAGAGGCTGCACACACACATCGGGGCTGACTGGCCCGGGCGCTGTGGTACCGGGACGGCGGTGGCTGCGCTCTCGGCGGGTGGTATCGTGTGTACCGCATTACAGATAACGAGATTTCTCGGGTCACCGTCAGCATCCTTATCAGGCGGAGTGCGTTTCCGTGGCTGTCAATACAGTAAATGACCTGTTAAGTCCATCCCTGTGGTATGCACACAGAGCATTAATCTTCGCATTTTTATGCCAGGCTAAAAAGAGCGGCTCCTTTCTCCCGCCGCCCCGAGCATCCCCGGCTGGCCCTGGGTCAGACCTGTTGCAGCGGCTGTGCTTGTGTAACTCGGCTTAACGAAGGCTTACGGCGCCGTCCCCTGCCTGCTCAGGCAGCTCTTTCCGACAGGGAATGTTCATCGCCGTTGGAGGAGGGCTTGTTTGTTTTTTTTCTCTTCTCGACAGCTCTGAGCTTTCTCCTGTCAGCCCACCGTGCCCGGCCTGCTGCCCATCCACCGAGACCTGGGGGCTTCGCAACGCCAAGCTGGACCCGGGTGCGTGGGAGGGAGAGGTTCGGTCCTTCTTGGACCAAGGCACGTCGCACCAGCGACTCCCGGATATTTTAGGGGGTCGGGAGCTCCGTTGATGACAGTCCTGAAGTCTGATCGGAGCATGCCTAGTTTCATCGTTATTACTGCTGTCTGCGTTAAGTACAGACGTTACTGAATCCCCCAGCCTTGTCCTGGATTGCTGTGAGCTCCTGTTAAAATCTGGGGACCGAGAACTGTCTTTTCATGGGGTTATTTTCAGACCCTGGACTGAAATTTGGAGATGTCCTCAGGGCATTGGGGCACATCTTTATTTTCAGTTTACTGGTGGGGAGGGTAAGGCAAAAGAAGCAAAAAGAACCCCATTCTTGATGTTTCCCTCTCTGAGCAATGAAATTATTGCTTCTCCCACTGGTGGCTATGGAAGTGCCCCCAATGGCCGTGACTGCAGAGGACAGCTATTAAACTACGTGTCTGGGTCTGGTGAAACTCCGGGTTCGTTTTCCTGCCCTGCCACAGATTTCCTTCCCGACCGTGGGCAAGGCAGGTGGGGTCCCATTCCCGAGGGCAGCTGTGTACCAATCTCTTCCCGTGGTGCTTCCAGACCTCGGAGCATCCGCTACCGCGATTCGGGACATCTGGTACCACGTGATGGACACGATGGCTTTGCCGCAGACCCATCACAGAGCACGAGGCACTCGATGCTGTGCCATTAACTTACGTATGGGGACAGAAGGCGGATAAAAGTTTTTCAGGGGCTATTGGGCTTCCCAGCTGACGCTGGTGCCAGAGGAGGGTCGGCTCCTCTGGCTTTGCACGGCAGAGACGCTGCTTGGAAAGGGATGAGGCGCTGCAGCGGGTGGCTGTTGGCTTGTTTGTTGCTTTGTGGTGCCTTTCGGTGTTGACATTTGTGCCGGGAGGTGGTATTTCGGGGAGGGGAGAGGTGGTGGTGGTGGCGGGGAAACGTGAGCTGTGCAAATACTGCAGCGAGTTCCAGCTCCCAACTTGGCAGAGCTGTGTCAGCTGGCACCGCAGGCTGCTTCTCATTTTCCAGCTCGTCCGCTGCTTGCATGTCATTACGCGCGACGCTGTTGACGTGTGCATGGCAAGTGTCATGCGTGTTGCCGCCGAGTTGCCAAGAAAAGGCAGAAGAGCTGACAGCCAGCGCCTGTTGGCTTTCTGTGCGGGGAGTTCGCAGCAGATGAGCCGGCTCCGCTCCCCCCCGTCCCTGGGGTTGAGATTAGAGAGCGCTCAGAACAAACCTCGCAGACCACCGTGGGATGTTCTCCGTTGCCGAGCCTGCCAAATTGCATGCCGGCACGGTGCGAATGCGGCAATAAAGCGTACGGCACGCTGGAGGCGTCCCGTGGTGGCAGGCAGGCATGGGGCTCGGTGGCAGGGGCTTCATTTCACATCAGTGGTCGCTTTGACTGCAAAAGGGGCTCTGGGGAGATGCCCCAGGCACCTCTGAGCAGCTCAGGACCAGGAGCTGATCTCTGTTATGCCCCAGTAAATTGGCAGTAATTGCTTGAGGAGTCAATAGCTGGAGGAGCCGCTGTCCCTATCAGTATTTGGACGATCATATCCGTTGGACCTCATTTTTCACATGTAAAGAGTTAATATCTGTACATGAATGGGAAAACTATTGCTGTAGGTAAAGGAAAGTTGCCACGGAGCCGTGCTGGGAGCGGCTGTCAGCGCGAGCCCATGGGTCGACGTTGGCGCACTGGGGCTGGAAGCGGAGAGCCCGGCCGCGGCTGCCCACGTGGTCGGGGAGAGGGAGGCAAGCAAAGCCGGGTGGCTTCTGGTCGCCAAACCGTAACTCGTTTTTCCTGCGGTCAGGTCGCGGGCCAGGCGAGAGGGGCAGCGCTGGCAGAGCTGGGGCTTCCTCCAGTCCTTGGAGACCTCCAGAGAGACTCGATGGATGCCTCTGCTCCCGCCGAGCGCTTGGGGCTGGGCACAGCGGGGAGAAGGCGTTCAGCTCATGTTTCCCAGTGTAACTAGGACAGAGCATTGCGCTTAAATTTACCCGCTGGGCGAAGAGTCTCATATTCACAGAGCGCAGAGCATGTGGTGGTGCCAAACCCAGTGCCTGCATGCCAGCGTCGTGCCCGCAGGGTGGAAGGAGCTGGGTCAGCAGTGTGGTGGAGACAGCAGCGGTGAGCAGAAGCCCTTCCCGTAGCCCTGTCCCCACGTTATCCCCTAGTTTGGGCGCATCCTGCCTTTCGGGGTGTGTGGGATGCTCCTGCACAGCCATGGAGCAGCAATGGGTTGGTGGCACGGTCCCCCCGCGCTGGCAGGACCGCTGGCTCCGGGCAAGAGCATCACTATTCATAACAGCCCCGGTCCTGTGCTCACATGTACTCTCCGCATCACATTTCCCAGTTTCACATGCAGGACAGGGTATTTCTCCCAAATGGATATTTCTCCCCTGATGTGCTATTGCTGCGTGAGCCTCTCCGTGAGCCCCGATGAGGAGAAACAGCCCTCTAACATCAGGGGGAGCAACGCGAGGTTGACGCCAGCAGCTGCAGCCGTGGGTCGAGTTCTTTGACTCGGGAATCCAAACACGTAGGAGGCTGCTGCCATCAGGCCGGTGGTAATGGCAAAGCGGAGAGGAAGAAAGGAGCCACGCAAAGTGGAAAAATGGTTTAATTTCTCATGGCGTGAAGGGGAATTGCAGAGCTGTTGAAAAGCAGGCGCGTTCCTGCGGGGAGCCCGGCACAGAGCCGCCCGCTCGCTGCTCCCCCGGGGCTGCTCTGCGGCGTGGAGCCGTGCGGGGCACCGGCTGCTTTGTACCGAAAAGCATCAGTGGGTGTGGAGGAAGAATGAGATGCGGCGGTAAAGCCTGCGTGGGGCACTGCTAGCGGTTTTCTTTCTGAAGGGATTGGTGCTACGCCACCAATCTGCAGGGAAGAATACGCTGAGGCAGATGGAGGCACGGGCCAAAAACCCAATTCCTGATTCCCAGGCTGCTCCTTCCTCTCCTGATGGCAGCCCGAGGCAGGGGGCCATGGCCAGCCCAGCGAGAGCCGGGGCCGTGCCGTGGTGGGATACGGGCTGGCCCGAGGCGGCGGGTGCGATGTCGGAGCCGTGCTGGCACCTTCCTGCACCGCTTTTCTCTGGAATAGTGGGAAAAGCGCAAACTCTGGGTTTGAGGTTGTGGGAGGGGGAGCTGGCAGCTGGGCTTTGCTCGGCATTTTCTGAAGATCAGCTTGTTTTGATGCATCCCAACTCAAACCATCACGTAAGGTGCTCAGACCAGCCGTCTCTGGGAAAGTGCTTGCGTCCGAGTTGTGGTCCTCAGAGCATCCGAGGCCCAGGAGATGACACTGAGTGCACCAACCCCCTTTGATTTTGCTGGTATTGCTTTCCTTCTTAGAGTCAGGTTTGTACGTGGGGTGGTCGCACCCTCCATGGCAAGAAACAGGACACTTTTGCAAGTTGTAGCTCTTTTCTCAACCTCTCCTTCTTTCCTTCCAGGATCATACCCCAGCTGGAGAACTCACCTTCACAGGTTTCACCGAGTAGCCTGCCTGGCTCCGAGATTTCGGAAGCTACGAGGACTTACTTGCAAGGAGTGAGCCGCTATGACCTGGACGAGCTCGATGCTTGCTGGTTGGAACTTGTTAATATGGAGCTGAAGGAGATGGGTGAGTATTGCTGTTGTTTTTCTCCTTGCCTGGGCATCTCAGAGTAGGCGTTCAGTCTTTTTAAGTAATCATGTGGAACAAAAGGCCTTAAGGAAGGAATTTTTGTTCAGGCTCTCCAAAAAGAGATCACACAGATTGCTGCAGCGCAGGATCTTGAGTGCATTTCAGTGCCTCTCATTCACGTAGCGGTTTTGGCACGTGGTGCAAGAAGAACGAAGTGAACCAGATGATGGTATGAGCAGTGCAGCGTGTCCCGTGGAGCAGGGCTCTGGTTGGCAGAAGAACCGATAGATCCACAGAATCAGGGAGTGGTCAGGGTTGGAGGGGACCTCTGGAGATCATCTAGTCCGACCCCCATCATCTAGTCCAACCCCCAATCAGGACCATGCTGTAGTTGCATGACCATCGTCATCTCCCGTACTCATCCCTGCAGCATCTGTGCTGCAGGAAGAGGTGTTTGTCAGGACGGCTGTGTTGATCCTGACTCCTCTTCCTTTGACCGGCCACATCTGAAAGCGTTTTCTCCAACATTTCTCCGATTGTAGCCGACTGGGCAGATGGATTCAGAGGAAAGAGGATTTCCTAGACAGAATGTGTAATTCTCCAAAATGCTGGTCCTGGGTTGTCTCTCCTTTCCTGGATGTCTCTAACAACCACAGCGTGGTGTTCCCTGCATCACTGCTGTTACATCACTGCACATTCTTAAAATCCATTAGCGCATTTCGGTTGAGTGCAAGCACCTGAACTTGGAATTTGACCATTGGCAGTAGTGCTTAGCATGGTCTGCTGGGCAGATTTGTTGGCACAGACACGTGGGTGTGTAGTCCTGCCAGACCGTGGAGGGATTTTCCAATCCTTGTTAGGTAAGGGTTGCTGTGGTGTGGCTGCTGCTGCGCAGGTAGGAATAACAACGCAATAAAGCGTTCACCTTGCGAGGTCAGCGGAAGCTGGAGCGTGCCCACGGGAAGCACTGCTCCCCGTTGCGAAGGTCTTTCAAGGGTGAGACGAGGTGTGTTAGCCGCCTGGGGAGGTTGTGCTGAGTCTCGCAGCCTGCTGCGGTGAGACTCAGGTGGACGGGGGTAAGATTTAGTTCGGTAAGCTTGCGTGGAGCATAAACGGGCTCAGAACTTGGCCACCACGTTGGCTGATCTTAGTTGAAGATGACCCCAATTCTTCTTCTGATGTACTGATGACTTACGAGCAAGATTTTGTTACCTTGAGAAAGTTGTAGAGGCTGCTTTTAGAGTTTGGCCAATTCTCTTTTTCTCCTCTATATTGGCTTTCCCGTGATCTCGGCGTTGTGGAGCCGGTAGTATCACTAGCAAATCGCAGTCAGCTTTGCCCTCATTAACCGGTCCTGTATCAGCAGCCCCAGCTCTGTCGTTAGCACACCCGGGTTTTGAGCTACTGGCAGCTCTGGTCAAGTCCTGGGGCAGAGCAGAGGGTGCTCCTGGGCAAAGCCGAGCGGCTGGGTCCCACTTGGGTGCCTTACAGAGGACCCACAGTTCCTAAAGCTGCACAGCTGTCATTACTGCATCAAGAGACCAGCTTGTACCACCCTGGACATCCTTCTGACCCCACTGCGCTTTCACCGTGTCTCCTGCTGCATTTCCCTCGCCATCTCCACAGCTGGGTGGCCATCAGGGGTGTCTGTGGGCTCCAGAGAAAGGTTGTCTGTATTTCCCCTTCCCCGTTGTATGCATTTCTTAAGTCTCTAGAAAGACAGCGGGCAGATTTGGCTTCTCCAGCTCAGTTGGGTTACGTTTGGCTCGCTTTAGTGTTTCTGCAAAGTATTGGGTTACAAATGCGATGTCCTAAATGGCTTTCAGATGTGGAGCTCCCGTGCTGATGGGTAACTGGAAGGCTGCGATGAGACGGGTGCTGTCGGGGCACGGGTGGAAACGTGCTGGGGGAGAGAGCGGGGTGGATTTGGGAGGGGATCTCCAGCGTCCTCACAGCCGTATGCCCCCGGTAGCCCCGCTCCGGGCAGGCACGTTGGGTGGGCCGATGTCGCAGCATCCCGCTGAGCACGTCCCGAACCCGGTGTGGGGATGCAGGCGGTGCTTTGCCTCTGACCCTCTGTGCAGTTTTGAGCAGGCTGCGTTTTCCTCCCTCCGGCTCCTTGTCATTTATCAGTTTTTTGAAGGACGGTGCTGAGGAGGTGTTTGTACAGCACCGGGCTGGATGGGACCACGGTCTCTGATGAAGCCCCTCCTGCAATAACCGACTATCGACGGTGATAACGAACCCGGGGGATTTCAGCAGAGCCTCACTGTCTGCCAGCTGATTCTCCAGCCCATTTCTGTTGCTGAAAGAGCGCTGTCATTACTGGCTGAGCCTTAAATATGCTGGGGGGAGAGCAGCTTTGAAAACCAGCGTTTGGCGTGTGAAATCCACTGCGGATATGGCTTCATCCCGAAGGATTCCGATAGCTCGCCCCATCCCCCAGCCCTGCCGGCTTCTCTAGGCTAGTGCGTTTTTTCCAGTGACTTGAAAGGGAAAGCATGTGGCATTGATTAATACCCCATCCCCGGCATGGCGGGGAGCAGGGGGGTCTGGCAGGTAGGGAGCAGGATGGGTGCTGGTGGTGGTCCTGGCTGTGGGACCGCGGTTGCATCTCCCATGCCGGCGGTGGCGGGGGCTGCTGGAGGGGGGGGAGCTGGACCACGGGGGCTGCACGGGCAACGGGCTTCTTTGGGAATGCATTATCCCACCCGTGGAAGTGATGGGGTTTGAGTGCCCGTAGAGGAAAGCTGTTATTATCGCTGCACGCCTCCCGGGCTGTGCCAAAGCGGAGGCTCTGCTCCCTCCGCTTCCCAGTTGGGAGAAGCCACGTGCCCCAGTGCAGTGGGGATGGGATTTGGGGGCCCTTCGCCACCCAACGCAGAAGATTGCCGCCTGCCCAGGTCGGTCTGAAGGCAGTCCATAAATAGCCTTTTCTCCCGGAAGCCCTCGACGTTAATGACATACTGAGATTTCCAAAACCAGCTTCACTAATCTCCGAGATCATTAACATGACTTAACCGGAGAATTGCAGCCTCTCCTCCTATTCAGAGAAGTCAGGAGTTATCTCCGCCGTCAAGAGCTATGCAGAAGTTTAAATTCCTCCCGGGTGTTTAGCTGAGCTGTTGTCACTGGGCAGTCCAGGGGCACAATGTGTCATTGCCAAAATATTTAATGACAAAGAAGGAGCCTGATCTCTGACTGGCTCTTGAGGAGCGGCGGGGAGGAGAGCTGGAAAACACCTATGAGATCATCCATCTCGCTTTGCCGTTAGCGCAGCGTTGATCCACGTAGCGCATAGCACATGCCTTTTCCAGTCCTTTTTAGGTCACCCCAGGGATGGAATTTTATCACCCGAGATCAGATAAACCTCCAGATAGCTCCAGCTCTCTGCGCTCTGCTTGGCTCCTCTCCCAATCAGGTGGAATTGCTCTGAAAAGCAAAAGTTTTACACGTAAACCAGCTTTAAATAGTTTTTAAAACCCCAGTAAGGTGCCTCAGGAGCTGTTACTGTACTGGGTAGAAATGTACTGTTTAAGGAACTTCTGTGTGCTACAGATGAAATCAATAGTTAACCGTGCCTCAATGTTTTATTTGTTGCTGCTGCGATACGAGATAGTGAAAAAAGGGGGTCTGGAGGGGTCTGAATGAAACCCTCAACCAGGTTTATGTGTGCGCCACTCCAGGCAGCACAGGCGTTTCCTTTTAGGGGGAAGTCTTCGCTTTAATATTACCGTTTTATGCTGTATTTTGTGATCTCCACTAAATGTGAAGCTATTGTAAGAGCGGGGCTAGAGAGACTTCAAAGGCCAAGGCTGAAAGATCCCTTTGCGGTGATCGGCACTTCATAAACACAGGGAAAATCCTCAAGAAATTGCTAAAAACGTTGCCGGAATCAATTTTGCTGGAGGCAGAATCGAAGTTTCTAAGTATTCCCTTGACTTAATCCATATGGTGTATGCTGCTCACATATGCCCACCACAGGTTCTATCTTGGGAGCTGGAGGTGTTCCTGGGATTTTATGGCAGGAACACGCAAAGGTCACATGTATTGCTTTGGAAGCTCCGGGGGGAATTCATCACTGCATACTTGAGATATGTCTGTGTACTAATGAGATGATACCTCCCTCGGCGGAGGTGAGATTGGTCAAGTAGACGTGGAATAAGCCAGAGTCGGTGGAGTAACCCCCGGGGAAGATGTGCTCAGTGGAGCAGAGGCTGCCATGAGCGGCTGCTTGGCCGCCCTGCAGCGCCGGGAGTCCTTGCTTGAGGCTATCTCCATCCCACCGCATCCTTTCAGGGCTCAAGGATCCCCTTTCCCCCACCCCCCCGTTGGCAGTCCCCAGGCAGAGCCTGTCCCTACACCGCTGCCACCCACCCAGGGGTGCCCATCACCGTGGCCAGGCTCCATCCGCTGTGCAGGACACCCCCCCTAATATCTGTCATTTGAAGCTTTTCTGTTATTTTAATGACTTTGGGCACAATTCCCCGCTGTGCTCTGGTGGCAGAGGCGCAGCCCCATTCCCCACCGGGTCCGCGGGCGGGAACCACCCCTGCCATGAGGGCCCCCGCCCCCCGATGCGGGGGATCCCGGGGCTGCCGTCCCCCTGCAGGGATGCTCCCCCCGACCCCAGGATGTGTGGAGGTCTGTCCTTTTTGTAGTGGAACCCGTTCCCTTTAACCACCAGCGCCGCTTCCACCTTTCAAGTGTCTTTCCCCCAGCTCACAGCCGTAAGGGACCGCTCGGGCGATGGAACCCCACTGTGCCCCCGCACCCGGGCTGGCCCCGCTCGCCGCTCATCGCTCAAGAAAGCTCAACCCATTAATAATTCAGGGTCTGTTTGTTTGGAATAATTTTTTTTTTCTCTTGTTTGGAAGAAATCCTGCCAGTTTGGAGCTGGTTTATAACACGTCTGCGCTGCAGCCCACAACAAACATCCGCGCAGAGCCTGAAATCTTTGTTCTCCGCCGAGATGATAAGCGCGTTGCACGAGTAAT